GGGAGGTGACCATGGCCAATATCCGCCCCCGCTCCATTCTGCCCAGCTTTCCCAGGTGTTTCACTGCAGCCTCCTCTCCCTGTATCCTTCCACAGCTCCCACGCTGTAAGCTGGTAACCTGTGGGTTCCGACTGGAGCACTGCGGCATCCTCCACCACCGCTGACCCCCTCCGCAGAGAGACACCTCACGTGGGAGCAGCCACCATGGACGGTGACGATCCAAAACGTTTCATCAAATTGGACGGTTCTTGACCGAGTGTAGTCGCGAAAGGGGCAGAGCGGCTCTTTCACAACAGGAATCAAGTTCCTGTGACCTCACAGCATCTCGGCCCACCATCTGCTGGCAGCTTAGGAGTTAACACTTCCTGCACATTTTAACCAAAGACACTCACGGGCTCCTGTCACGGAGGCCCCGGGGTGCTCCTCTCTGAGACTTATGGCACCCGGGAGAGGGGGCTTCTGGGACACACTTCACCCCTGCATGGGGGTCAGGATGGAGGAGGGGGAGAGTGTTTCTCTACTCCTTGAGGATGGAGGCATCCTGTCCTCCAAAAGGGCGGGCAGAGTAGAGTCTTGTACAACAGACAAAGGGGAGTCCCAGGCGAGCCCACCGGGACATGCAGATGCAGAAACCTGAGCTTGCCTACAATTACAACCAAAGCAGGCAGCTCTGCGGCTGGGAAGGCCGTGTACCAATCGCTGGCCTCATTCTTCTCCTGCCGGGGCTGAAGGGCCCCAGGAGCAGCTGACGAACAAAACAAGCGTAGCTTTTTCACAGCAAACTGCAACACTGCAATTCCACCCAATAATGTTTTCAACTTCCTGAAACTCCTTCCCACAGCCCCCAAAGTTCCGGATGGTTCAGAGCACTTCTGCTGACCAAGCCAAATGATGTCATCCTTTCACCGCCATCACCCGTGTGAAGAGAAAACATAGATGTTTATCTACCTCAGGCACAGGGAGGGCTTTCTAAAGCTTTCATCTCAGACATTCTCATTGAGACCCTTGAATTTACTTTCCCCCAGAAGTCTTTCCTTCCAAATGAGGAAATGTTTAGTTTCTCTAGATTTCAGTGGCTAAACTGGTGCTGTGAGTTACACGGACATTTTCAAGTCAGCCTTGCGACGCCATGTCATGTAAATCACTTAATCGTATAACTGGAGTTTTTGGGATTTGTACAGTATCAATGAAGACAACGAGGAACCCAAAGGCTAACAAGCGTGACAGGGGAGCTACAAGACCACTGAGGCCCCCCGCCCAGCACCTGTGCCTGGAGCCCCCAAGCCCCTACTCCTTCACCTCCCTCAAGGCTGAGGGAAGCCCTTCCGTGTGGACCACGGTGCACACATCATCGAGCCACCTGCCTGCAAGAAATTCTAAGCCTCCCTGTCTTTCAAGACCCGGACACTTTTGAGAGGCACTGGCAAGGACTGTGGTGAGCATCCCCCGGGTTGGGTGCAGCATTTTCTCATGATGAGACTGCATTTCTGGCAACACCGCCAGAGAAGTGATGTGTCTCACTGGGTCCTTGGTGTCAACATCTTATGACTGATGGTGTTACCCTGATCACTTGCTTCACGCAATATCTGCTGGGTTTTTCCACCAAGAGGCTACAATTTTATTTCTCCCTTTGTGATGTACATCCTGGGGGAGATACTTTGTGACTATGTAAATATCACAGACAGGAGGACATTAAGTGTGGGGTCCTAGAGGGGATCCCAAAACAGCAAGAGGACACTGGTGCAAAACCGAAGTTCGAATAAGGTCTGTCATTTAGGCAATAATGCTGTGAACTTTCTGGTATTTATATGGATGCCTGGTTCCATAAGATGTCAACATTAGGGGAAGCGGATGAAGAGAACAGGGAAGCTCAGTGAAATATTTTTTCCATCTTTTCTGTAAAGTCAAAAACTACCTGAAAATTAAAAGCTAACCAAGCTGCAGTCTGATTCTGCATGAGAACCTGGGGGGGGGGTCTGAAAAGTCTGTGTTTCTCACCAATACCCAAGTGACACATGGATGCTGCCGGCCCCTGGACCGCTCTGCTAGCAAGGCTCTGGCAAACAGAAGACAGAGCCCACCTCACTACTCACAACTTCCCAGTGACAGTCAGCTACCAGGCAGCAAGATCATGCTCCCAGTACGCTCGCCACTGCTTCACTGCAGGCCCTCCTGGAAACCAGCAGGGCAGACCACCCGCTTGGCACACTGACCCAGCGAGGAGCCAAAGTCAGGGTCTCTGCTACCACACGGGTCTGCCAGGCCTTGCCCAGGTACGCTGGCAGCCCTCCAAGGCCACAGGGCCAGAGCCACCAGCCCACGCCGCAATTCGCAGGCGGCTGTGGAACAGTGGCTTGGCACCTCATCCCATCGACTGTGGGCAATTACCAAGGCCACGAGGCAGCGGGAAGGCGGGGTGAATAGAACGGGCTTTCAAACCGCTGCTCAAGGGGAGTGACTGGCCACACAGGTGACCTCCTCCCACCCCATTAACATCATCTTTAATAGAGTGTTATAAACCCACAAGAAAGAACACACTCCTGACAGATGCAGAGAACCCAATCAGGGTAAAGGGAAAGCACCGGGGGCACAGGCGTGGTGCTCCAGGCCTCACAGAGCCCTGCGGACAGGCCAAACCTGCACCTGCCAAGTCGGTCCCGCACAGGAGAGCGAACTCCCCCACGGCCAGCAAAGGGGCTCCCAAAGAAGCGGAGCAGCCCAGAGAAAGTATCTGCAAGTTGGCGCTCCAGGTCCCACAGTACAGGCTCCCAATCACCCGAGGGAAAACTGGACTCTTTCAAAAGCACCCCACAGACCCGGGGCTCTCCGCCAGCCTCCTCCGGCCTCAGACAACAGTAAATATCAGTATTTGAGGAGGACTTGCCATACAGAGCAAAAAGCCAACACTCTTTTTTAAGTGACATTAGTGGAAACAAGAAATCAGAACAAAGAGGAACTGGAAAGAATCCTTATTAGTTTCCCTAGAGTCATGGAGATGAGGCATTTGTAAAACAATAAGCTACTGTGAAAAAGGAACAAGACAAATACATGCTTGGAAATTAAAAATTTGATTGTGAAGACATATGAAAGCCCTCTCCCAGAAATGAGAATAAACAAGACACAGAAGGAAGGATAAAGATGCAACTCCAGGGGTCCATCTAGAACGTCCATCACAAACAGGAACTCCTAAGACAGAAGAGCAGAGCTGGAGAGGAAGAACTTCTCAGACAGAACAAGGCAACTCCCCAGAGCTGAAGGACAAGGCACCAGAGTCAAAGAGTCCCCGGAGTAGGAATCCACACACCTCAGCACACGGTAAAATGTCATTAACACCAAAGAGAGGATCCAAGAGCGTTCAGGGAGGGAGAAGGGTCTCCACAGAGGAAGAGCACCTGCCAGAGCGTCCTGTGGAAATGAACAAAGCCGAGATGAAAACATTTCTGAACGCACCCAGCCGCAAGAAGTATCAGGTTGGCTCGTCTGCAGGCTAAAGAATAACCCATCCAGATGAGAAAAAGGTTAGGGGCTGAAGGAGGAAGGGGACCTGACACTATCCTTGAGATCATTTAAAACAATGCAAGGAGTCGATGGGAACAGAAAGTGCCAAGAGAAAAGCCATGACTAACAGAAAAAAAACATGCTGTACAGGAAGGGAAACACTCAATTTGTGAAGAGAACAGTATTTACATAGGCCTGACACACACAGTCCAGGGGATAGAAGAGGTGGGATATGACAGAAGGGCTCCATCACCCCATCGTAACAGAAAGTCAAGGCTGTGTAAAACCAAGTAGCAGCTTAGAACTAGGTGCAGTCACTCACACTTGTATTAACGGCTACTAAGGAAGCTGAGGATCACTTGAGCTCAGGAGTTCAAGTACGGCCTGGCCAACATCTGGGGATCCTATCTCAAGAAAAAAATGAAAAAGATCAGCTTACTTAGAGCTATAAAGAATGACCTAAAGAAACCACTCAAGATGTAAACCTCTTTGAAGAATGGGGCTGAGAGGTGGGGCAGGGGACCACTGCTTTTCATTGTAAGTCTTTCACTGATGTTCCTATTGTACACATTATATTAATTAAAATACTAAATATATAGGCTTCAAATAGACTGAATTTGAACCCTGGCTCTGTACATCTGAGCAAGTCCCTTAGTGTCTGCGGGCCTGGCCACCTCATCTATAAAGTGGGGGCAGCCTCTGCCTCCCGGGTCATGGTGAAGCACCCGAGATGTTGAGCTGCCCCCAAGCAGCGTGGATCACAAATGGATGCTCTTTTTTAAAAAGATTAAAGCCCCAGCCTGGGCAACAAGCGAAACCCCCTCTAAAATACAAAAATACAAAAATTAGCCAGGGGTGGTGGTGCCTGTGGTCCCAGCTACTCGGGAGGCTGCGGTGGGAGGATCACTTGAGCCAGGGAGGCCGAGGCTGCAGTGAGCCAAGATCACCACACTGCATTCCAGCCCCGGGGACAGAGTGAAACCCTATCTCCAAAAAATAAAAATACTAAAGCCAATGATGACAGAATCCAACATCGCAAGAATATATTCTTATTTTAATTGCCAGACACGGGAAGTGGACCTACACACAGAATTTTACCGCGTTTTGGTGTTTTCTTCTAGCACTGGATATTTATTTGCGAGCTGCGTGTTAAATGACCAGATCCAGTTTTTCTTTGCTGTTTCCTGAGCTTACTCAGAACCACTCACTACTCCAAGTTATTTTTCTGTCCCCCAAGAACTTCCAGCTAAAAGTGGCCCCTACGACTGCCTCCTCTTATTATTTACTATAGTTCTGCCATCGCCATCAGGCCCTGGAGTACGTTCCTGGGCAGAACAGGCAACTCCAAACAGGGCAATTATCTGTTCCACATCAACAACTGCGTGACCCGCGCCCTCCCCGGTCAGGGTGCAAGCTCGCTACCCTTCAAAGCCCACACTCGCTCCACTTGCTCACAGTTCTTCAGGGATGATGTATTTCTCCAATAGCAAGGCAACCCCTACCATCTCATCAGTGAAAAACATCAGTCCTCTATCAAGGTACTCTCTCCAATTTGCTCACACAGTGTGGATGGAATGTCATCTACTTCCTGCATCCTAGGGGGAAAAAAAAAAAACGGCCACCTTTCTTAAGGACTAGATCACAGAAATCGCACAAACGTGCTGGGGAGGGGGCACCCCGAAGTCCTCGTTCATCGGGGCCCCTAGGGGGACGGGCTGGGGTCCTCGCCGGGGTCGGCGGTCGCCCCGGGATCGTCCCTTCCGCTGCCTCGCCAGAGACTTGCATGTGCGAGTCCCGGGCTACAGGGCTCCAGTCCACAGCCACGGAGGAGGCACAAAAACGGTGCCTGTCGCTCCCGGCTGGCTAGCAGGAGCGACCCCTTGGGAGACTCGGTCCCCAGAGGAGCCCGGGCGCGGTTCTAGGCCCTTCCAGTCTCCCCGCCGTGGCCCCGGGTCCTTCCCGCGGGGCTAGGCCCGGGGCAGAGGTCGGGAGCGCGAGGCCCCCGGGCCGGGCTGCGGCAGCCGCGGCTCAACGGACGCCGGGGCGCGGCGGGGCCGGGGGTGCGGAAGCGAGGAAGCGGGAGCCCCTCTTCCGGGGCGCGGCCGGGGACGGGGAGCGGGGCCTGGGGGGCGCTCGCCCGGCCCGGGCGGTTGGAGGCGGCGGGGCTGCGGCGCGGGCGGCCCGGCGGGCGGGAGGAGGAGGGAGGAGGGAGATCTCGCTCTCGCTCTCGCCCCGCGGGAAGGGGGAGGCGGAGGCGCGACCGGCTGCGGGAGCTGCAATTACCGTGTGGGCTGCGGAATTCTCGTGGTGTTTGTCGGGGAGATGCGATAATGGCGTCCGTCCTCGCGAGAGAAGCCGCCGCTCTGCGCAGGCGCCGCGAGCCCCTCCCCGCGACGCTCTGCCCCCGCCCTCTGCGCAGGCTCACCGGGCGCGCGGGGCCGGGGGCGGGGCTGGGGCGAGGCCCCTTGCGGGCAGGGAGGCCAGCTGCGCGCGCTTTTCCCGCTCGGCCTCCTGGTGAGCATGCGCAGGCGGCCTTCTTCCGCGATGGTACCGGCTTCCCAGGGTTTTTTCCCCCCGTTTTTCGCCCACGCACGTGGCCTGCCTGAGAAAAATCACCTCAGTGGACGGTGTGAGGAATTTGCATCTTCTTTGAGACGGAATGAATAGGCATTAGCTCCCTCAACGACTACACCTCCCAGGGTGCCCTGCGCAAGCGGGGAGCCATGCATTCGGGGACTCGTAGTCCCTTCGTCTGGGCCATGCCTGCCGGGACTTGTAGTCTCTCCGGACTCCGGTCGTCCGTCTTGTCCCCGCACCAAGGGTTGCTGGGACTTGTAGTTACAATGTCTCAGGTGGGCTGTGCGCCCCCAGCGGGTCCTGCCTGCTGCTGCGGCGGATCCTGCCCTGAGGTTCCGGAGCGCTTGGTGGCGTTTTCCCAGACATAAGTGGTCAGGGGTCCCCAGCGTCTGTCCGGAGGGGCCTGAGTGCACGCGCGCGGGAGTTAGCACGCACAGCAGTGACCATGGTCTTAGATATGTCCTACAGCTAACACATAATATAAATAAGTGATGGCGGCCGGGCACAGTGGCTCACGCCAGTAATCCCAGCCCTCTGGGAGGCCGAGGTGGGCGGATCACCTGAGGTGGAGGTTCGAGACCAGCGTGGCCAACATGGCGAAACCCCCCTCTCTACTAAAAGTACAAAAATTATGCCTGGCCTGGTGGCGCGCACCTTGTAATCCCAACTACTCGGGAGGCTGAGGCGGGAGAATCGCTTGAGCCCGGGAGTCGGAGGTTGCCATGAGCCGAGATCGCGCCCCTGCACTCCAGTCTGGCGACAGAGCGAGACTCTGTCTCTAAAAAAATTAAAAAGTGATGGCGTGAATGTGCGCACGTTATCGTTTATGTAGAATAAATGTGCATTTGTGGGTAATCATAGGAAAAAAATCCCAAACTATAGGGCAATTCCCAGAAATGTCATTTCTGGTTATCTCCCTCTGCTTATCTAGAATTACCTTGCCTTTCATTTTCCTCTTTATACTCCTGTTTTCTGAATTATTTGCAATGAGCAAGAATGCCTTTGATCTCCCAAGCACAAGGCAAGAGAACTATTTTCACTGGGAAAAACAAAATGCTTTACCTTGAATTTCCTGCCCAGCTCCCTTTTGCCAATAATAATAACAGGATTCGGTGCAGTCATGGGCTATGCGACCTTGGGCAACCTTACCGAGTTAGTCTCCTCTAGAATTAGGCTCGGAGGTTCCCCTGAGGCCGGTGGCTGGGTTACTTCGCAGTAAAAATGACTTACAAACACTCCAAGGAGGAGCCTTGACAGAATGGCAGCACTGGGACAGGTGTCGATCTGAAGATGGGACCTGTTCTTTTTCAACATGAAGATTGGCTCCAAAGAGATTAGAAAAATTGCCCAGCGAGGCCACAGGGCTGGAGAGAGGCACAAGCCGAGTTTGCAGTACAGAACACCTTGCTTAGAGTGTGGTGTCCACTCACATGGAGGGAAAGGGTGCGTGCGGGAGCTGCCACGGAATATTCCCTCCAGCAGTGGGGACAAAACATGTTCTAGGGAGACACGCCTTTTGTCTCCACCTCCACCTCAATCACAGCTGCATTCAAATATTAATACTTGCCCATGTAAGAATTCTTAGCATCCATGCCTGAATATCTGGCTCGAAAACAGACCAACTTAGGGTGATGTTGTTCGTGTTATTTCAGAACATCCCCAAGTCCGTGTCTGGAGCTGCCTTTTCCCTATCCGCAGGCCTTGTGCAATGCTGGGCCCAGCGTCATGAACAGGTGTGAGTGGACGGGAGAAGGAACCTGTGGGCAAAGGTGAATCTATCTGTGACCATCCAACAAGCTACAGTGAGATTTGTTGAAGGCCACTGCTGACTAGGTCATGATCAGAAATGAAGCCAATCAAAACTATGATTGTGCCTATGCTGCAGTTGTCGATTGTTTTGTTTTGTTTTGTTTTGTTTGCATCAGGATCTTGCTCTGTCATCCAGGCTGGAGTGTGGTGGTGCAATCATAGTTCACTGCAGCCTCCACCTCTCGGGCTTAAGTGAGCTTCCCATCTGAGCCTCCGGAGTAGCCGCGACTACAGGCACGTACCACCATCATTGCCTAATTTTTTTGTTTTTTGTCGAGTTAGAGGTCTCAATACGTTGTCCAGGCTGAACTCCTGGACTCAAGCGATCCTCCTGTCTTAGCCTCCCAAAATGTTAGGGTTACAGGCATGAACTACTACACTTTTTTGTTTTTGATGGTTTTAATTTAGTTTTTATTTTGCTGCTCTGGAAGCTAAAACAGAGGAAGACACTGTTCAATATTGGCATATAGGCTGGGCGCGGTGGCTCAAGCCTGTAATCCCAGCACTTTGGGAGGCCGAGACGGGTGGATCACAAGGTCAGGAGATCGAGACCATCCTGGCTAACATGGTGAAACCCCGTCTCTACTAAAAATACAAAAAACTAGCCGGGCGTGGTGGCGGGCGCCTGTAGTCCCAGCTACTCGGAGGCTGAGGCGGGAGAATGGCGTGAACCCGGGAGGCGGAGCTTGCAGTGAGCCGAGATCGCGCCACTGCACTCCAGCCTGGGCGACAGAGCGAGACTCCGTCTCAAAAAAAAAAAAAAAAAAAATATTGGCATATAGTTGATTCACTGTAATTTTTAAAAAATGAAGTAGCTAGTCATCAGCAAAGACCGCTGTCTATAGTGAAGGTTCACTTACTCACCAGTCGGTACAAGGATCCGATCTGGTCCCCTGGAGTTAATGAAGTTACAGTCACATTAGTGAGGGCGTTATAAGAGGAGCGGGAAGTGCGCTCTGGCCTGTGTGGCACCAGATATGGGGGCCACTTAACGTGTGTGCACTAGACCATTCGTAAAGGTCACAGAGGTCCTTTCGTCAACACCTCGAAACGCCCACGTCAAGAAAACCCTGAAACCTTCCGACGGTTCCTCTCTCTGAAAATGTCACCAGGGTGGAGAAAGAGAAATTATCCACGTTGCACTCAGCGGCCCAGGAAAAGCCTAGGAGGCCGAGTGGAATGCTGGAACGCTGAGCCTGGCTGCCCTTAAGTGCGAGGACTTGGAGTTTGCCCGGCCAGGGCTTAGAGTCTAAGCCTTCCCTTGGCAAGTTGCTGAGGCTCTCAAGCCTCGGCTTCCCACTCTGGGAACTGGTGTTCAGATCCCACAGCTCACAGGGATATTGGGAGGGGTCCATGGCATGGAGGTGACGAAGCGTTTAGTAGAGGGTCGGATCCCAGATGTGCTCATGTTACCACGGGCTGAGTGGCCACGAGCCGGGCACATTTCACTGTAATCCCTATTCTTTGTGAAGAACAGGAAGGTAAGAGTGGTTGAGTGATACACCTGGGGTCACACAGCCATAGTGGGGGTAGAGACGAGAGGAGGCAGGTGCTGAGAAGTGGCAGCAAAGGTAGTGAAGGTGCAACCGCGTCCTTGTCAGCGAGGAAGGGGTGTCGTCTTGCTCCTGCGGCAACGGGGAAGACTTCACAAAGTTTGGGGCCAGAGTGGGTAGGATCAGATTTGTGTCTTGAAAAGTCCATCTGGCAGCCAGGCGCGGTGGCTCACACCTGTAATCCTAGCACTTTGGGAGGCCGAGGCGGGCAGATCACCTGAGGTCGGGAGTACGCAACCAGCCCAACCAACATGGTGACACCCCGTCTCTACTAAAAATACAAAATTATCTGGGTGTGGTGGCGCATGGCTGTCATCCCAGCTACTCGGGAGGCTAAGGCAGGAGAATCGCTTGAACCCGGGAGGTGGAGGTTGCGGTGAGCCAAGATCACACCACTGCACTCCAGCCTGGGCAACAAGAGCGAGACTCTGTCTCAAAAAAAGAAAAGAAAAGCCTGTCTGGCTGGAGCACTGGAAAAGGAGTGCAGGGAGGGAATATATTATCCTGCATGAATTTGGGGAGCGCAGTGGAGAAGGCTGTGGCAGGCTCCAAGTGAGAGATGGAAAGAGACAGAGGCTTGCTGCAGGGGGTTGCAGTGAGGACGGGATGAAGAGAAATGGGCAGATTGGAGAGGTTCCACAGGGTGAAGTCCACAGGACTTGCCCATGAGCCCAGTACTGGGGGCGGCCAAAGGAGAGGGGGTGCCCAGGTGCCATACTGGATGGTGGACGTACAGACATCATGACCACCGCGCATGGTCGTGGGGACTGTCCCTGAAAACACGTCTTTGCAATCGTTCCTCGGGGGGCGCTCCTTCTGTAATTCGTCCTCCACTCTCCCCATCCCCCCACCCCACTTTGCCACTTCATGCAGGGGCACTGTAAGGGTTTGAAGGTCTCACTGGAAGAGGTCACCTTTGGGGTGAACTAGAGCCCTGAAAGGAGACCCCATTGGGAAACATGATGATCCAGGGGTGACAGGAGGGGGTGGCCATCAGCACCACTCAGCCCCACCTGGCATGGATCCCACCTGCTCCAGGGACA